CCGACCCCGTCGTGCTCCGGGACTCTGCGTGGGCCAGGCCGCTGTCCCGTCCGTCTGTCTGTCTGTCTGCGGGGGAGGGGGGCAGAGGAGGGCGGGCAGGGCGTCTCAGCTCTCCCTATGACGGGCACACATCTGCAGCTGGCCCTCCTCCCTCTCAATAGCACGTCGCGGCAGCACTGTGTCTTTTTGGTTTTGCAAAGCGCCGCGTCCACCCCCGGTGCTCTATAAATAAGAACCAACAATCAATACCCGCTGGCCCCGCTGGCCGCCAGGGACCCCAGCCCTGAGCGCCCAATGCCACCCTGGCCCAGACCGGCCACAAGACAGGGGCAGAGGATCTCAGCAGCCGGACCGACCCCACCCATCCCGACAGAACCCCCCCAGCCCAGGCCTCCCTCCGAGCGGGTGCCCAGCCCGAAGCGGTGGGAGCTGGGCTGCCCTCCCCCGCCCAGTCTCCCCAGCTGGCAGGGTCCCCAGTCACCCCTGCAGGGAAGGGCCAGTCCCAGATGCCACAGGGGGCCAGGGCTGGCCTGGGGGGTGGTTCCTGGTGCCCAGGGGAGGCTCGCGTGAGGCCTCCAATGGGAGTGTGTCCCAGAAAGGCACTGAGGGTCCCTGAACTGCACCCGAGCCAGTTAAGAGGCATGCCTGTCTGCGCTGGGCGGGGGCGGGGGCGGCAGGACTTAGTGACACCTGCAGGAAGCGGCCCATTGCCTGTGTGACTTCTGTGCTCCTCCTTTGAGCTGCCTGCCCAAAAGTGCAGTCTCCTGGGGATAGCTGCACACCTGGTGGTGCCCCTGGCTCGGGCCCTGCCCCTTTCCCAGGCTTGGCCGTCCCAGCCTGTGCTCCAGCCCTACTGACTCTCACTATCCATCCACCATCCCTGTGCCCAGCCTCTCTTGGGGAGAGGAGCAGACAGGCCTCAAGGGCCCCTCTTGGGGCACCCTGGTGGCTTCCACCTTGAATTCAGATTGCTCTGTGCCAAGCCCTGGCTGTGTCCTGGGGGCCTGCCCCTCTTCCTGTGCAGGGTGTGTGTGGGGGTGCAAACCCAGTTCCACCTTGGAGCACAGCTTCTGTGGGCTCAGGGCCAAACTTGCCCCTGGGCTGCAGGGAGTCCACTGGGCCGAGGGCTGCGCTGGCTCTGGGCGGGCCCCTTCCCACCTGGGACCGGGTGCCCCTAGCAAGGCTGGGTCCATTTGGGAAGCTTTTGGTCCGAGTGTACACAGTCAGTGAGGCGACAAGCTGCCCGAGGCAGGAGGGCAGGGAATTGTGGGCTTGGGCAGAAGGCCTGGCTCTGACATGATCCTGTGGGGCGGGGCTAAGGGTCAGGAGCTGAGGTGCTGGTCTCCTCCAAGGAGGCCTTCCCTTCTGGGGCCTCTGTCTGGGAGCCTCTGTGCCCCAAGCTCTGTAGGCTCCAGCTTTCCGGGCTACCCCCACTCCCCCAAGCTGGTACACTGTAGGGCCCCTGCTCAGCCTGGGGTGAGAGCTTCCCCCTCTGGTCCAATCCACTCCCTGCCTGATGGGTCCCCTGTGGCTGGGGGCCTGTTCCAACTCCAGGCCCCAACCGTCCACCCAGATGGAGCCAGGCCCGGCCCCCAGCCCCGGCCCACACAGAGACCACACGGAGGGGATGCAACAGGCATGGCTCTGGTGAGACACGTGAGACAGGTGTCTGGGTGGCGGGGCCGGCAGCCAGACAGATGGACGGATGGGACATCACAGCCACCCCTCCATGGATGCTGAGGGGAGGGAGAGAGGGCAGCGGGCCCTTCCCCAGGAGAGGCTGAGAAACTGACGTAACAGTGAGGTGGTGTGGCCAACCGACGTGTGAGGAGCCCAGAACAGGGTGGCTCTGGGCTCCCAGGGGCCCTGGGCATGGCCCCGAGGTGGTGAGGCTGACTGGCTGACCAACAACATGACACAGCTTCAAGATGGCGCGTGGCGTCATGGCATGGGGGGCAGACTCACGCAGAGACACATGGGGAGAGGGCCCAGGGAGGGCCAGCAGGAGAGAGGCCGAGAGAGAGGCCCAGAGAGTCAGAGAGAGAAGACCTAGTGTGCTGGGCGAGTAGAGATGAGGGCAGAGGCCACAGCGGGCAGGATGGGGTGGGTGGGATGACAAGGGAGGGCGAGGGCAGGCCTGATGGACGGGACACAGACACGGGGGCGAGATAAGAGTCGGAGACGGGGGACTGGGCGGTCTTCCCCTTACCGTGTCTTTGGAGGACCTACGTCTCTTGAAGCTGGAAGCCAGGGTGGAGGTGATAGCCCTAAATGTGGCTTTCTTTTTAGGGTCGGGCTCTGCTCTACCACTCTTTCTATCCTAAAATGAATATGTATAAGTGATTAGACGGCTAAGGGTGACGGCCACACCTGCCCTCGCCTGCTCCTTGGGGGCTGCCGCCTGGCCTGGCCAGCCACTCAGGCCCTTGCTCCTGCCTGTCTCCCTGTGCTGGACCGATGGACTGAGAGCCAGACATGGGCAGGCGGCCTCAGCTTCTGCCCAGGTTGAGCCTGACCTTGCTCGTGCTGGGGCTAGCCTTGGGGGAGGGGGGGTCGCCCATCTGGCTCTCTTCCTGGGAGGTCCACCTGGCTCCCTGGCTCTTGGGTGGCCCTGGTTTACAGGGGTCCCAAGAAGGAGGGGCCCTCTGAGCACTGGAGGAGTGTCCCCTCAGGCCTGCCAGCCATTCTGACCCCTGAGGGAGCACAACAAGATTCAGGAAGAGGCCAAGGGGCCAAAGGTGGGTGTCGAGATGAACTGGAGTGATAGACAGAGGCAGCTCCTGGGACCCTGGCCTTGGGTCTGATAGCCAGGATGGCCCTGTGCCCGCCAGTAAGAGCAGCGACCGGGTCCTAAGAGCAAGAGTGGGCAGATGAGAGGTGTGGGGGCTCCAGCAACCCGTATCCCCAAGGCCCCCCCTCTGCACTGCTGGCTCCATCCCAGGACACAGGCTCTGGAGAGGAACCCAGAGAAAGAGAAGAGATGCAGCAACCTGGACTTGACCGTGGGCAGGCGCCACGGGCCTCACCGGCCCCACTGCCTGCCCCACTCCAGGTGGGCTGTGGCTGCCCCTCGTGCAGCCTGTCGCCTGCTGGCAGCAAATTCCCACAGACACAGCCTGGGGTGCCAGGTAGAGCCAGCTGGACGGCTTCAGGCCGGAGTTACGGAGCACAGGACACAGCAGGCAGCAGGGAAGGAGGCCCCGGAGGGTGCCGAGGAGGGGTGCAGGGCGGCGAGGGCAGAATGCGTCTTAGACTCACGTGCTACACCCAGGTGGGTCCCTGTCTTACCCTGCCTCAGTCTGCCTTCCTATGGAATGGGCGCCGGCGGGCGACTCTGGAGACAGAGAGGCCAGGCGGAGGCTTGGAGCAGGGCACGCGGCCTTCCTCAGCCTGGCTTGGCAGTGGGCAGCCGCCTGCAGGTGGCCCCTACCGACGCTGCCCCTGGCTGTGGCTCCTAGCTCCAGTCCTGCTCACATGGGCTCCGGGAGCCAGGGCCAGCGCTTCGGCCTGTGGGGATGGAGGAGGGCTGGGGCCAGGCTGGGCCGTGGGCACCAGGCCTCAGAGGGTGGCCTGCCCTACCTGCAGGTTCTTTCTCCACACATTCACCGCGGCAAAGGCTAGCTGCATCTGCTTCCGGCGAGCATCCTTGTGCCGCTTGTAGGCGATTTCGATGAAGATCAGGAAGATTCCAGCCACGATGCCTCCAGCCACCAGCATGAAGACCCCTGCAGGCCAGGACCCAGCACCTCAGCTGTTGGCTGGCTGCAGGCGGCCCGGAGAACCCATCCGGTGTCATCAGGAGCGTTAAGGGGAAGGGGGGAGACCCACCTGCCATGTTCTCGAAGGTGAGAGTAGCAGGGGCATTGCTGCGCGAGTCACACTCCTGGTACCGCACCCACGTCTTGTCCAGGTCTTCCATGAAGCCGTTCTCATGGGACCTGGGTGGGCGGGGCCGGG